GAAAAAGGTAACACTGTGAGTTAAAAAATTTCTTGAAAGCCAATTCTGTGGTCCATTCACTTAACTATTTGAAAATAGTTAATTCCTTAATAAGACCTTGCTGGCTAGAAAGAGGCTAGGGTGATTACAAAGTATCCCTTAGTGTACAATTCTGATGAAGATTATTTTATAAACCTAATCTATCAGTCCTTACCTTGAAAATAGATTCTTTTTTAAATAATTAGCATTACATTACAAATTTTTTTCTTCAACCAGTCTTTGTATAATACAAACAATAGATCTATTCTTCCAGCATTTCTACCACCTTCCCTATTTAGATAAAAACTGAATAAGTCTAATTACAAGAACTCTTGAACAGCAGTTCTACCCTCCCCTGCAAAGTCTAAGAACCAAAACAATCAATAGAGAAAAAAATTAAATAGATAAAAAACAGTACTTTTAAACACTCAGCAGGCATGTTTCCATGAGCACCCCTCTAGTAATCTAACAATGCTGTAGAATAATGAAAGAGAAAATTTAGTTTAGAACATTTTAATTATCAAGAAATAAAGAATGATTTCTATATACTTTTTAAAAATAACTTGAAACTAGCACTATTAAATGAAACCTATACCTTTTCAAATTTGCTTATTGTATCTAACTTTCGTCCATAAATTGATACAACTGAAGTTAAATTTTCAGTTTATAATTAGCATAACAGTTAATAGAGAAGGTATATAAAATGTTCCTCACTCCTCCACTTGTTTTTATAGCCTTATAAAACTAAATCAGCTGCTATTAAGTTTTTTTTAGTAGAAATTAACTTTACAAAGTCTAAATCTATAACAACTTTAAATGCATGTGTTTTCAACAAAAGGTGATGGGACAATTGGATATCTGTATTTAAAAAACTGACCTTAGACCCTCATCTTATACCATACCCAAAAATTAACTTAAAACGGATCTGAGACTTAATTGTAAGAGATAAAACAATAAAACATGATAAAACATGTAGAAGGTGACATAAGAGAAAATCCTTGAGACCTAACACAAAGATTTCTTGGATATAATACCAAAAACAAAGTCCATAAAAGAAAAACTTGATAAATTGGACCTCATGAAAATTCAAAAATGTTATACTTCAAAAGACACCATTAAGAAAATGAAAAATCAACTTAAGAGACTGGGAGAAAATATTTACAAAACATATTTAATATGGGACTTACATCCAGAATTTATGAAGAATTCTTATAACTCAATTTATGAGATGACAAACAACCCAATCAAAAAATGAGCAAAATATATAAACACACATCTCACTCAAGAAGATGGCAAGTACATGAAAATATGTACAATCTTACTAGTCATTAAGGAAATGCCATTAAAGCCACAATGAGATACCATTTCACACCCATTAGAATGGCTGTAAAATGGACAATTACAGATATTGGTGGAGATGTGGAGAAACAAGAACCCTCACAGGTTATTGGTGGGATTATAAAATGGCCCAACCACTTTGGAAAATAGTTCATAGTTTCTTAAAAAGCTAAACATAAAACTATGATATGACCCAGCAATTCTAATCCTAGGTATCTACCCAAGATATATGAAAATATGTATCTGGGAACCCTCCTACACTCTTGGTGGGAATGTAAATTGGTGCAACCATTGTGGAAAGTAATGTGGAGGTTCCTCAAAAAACTAAATAGAAATACCATTGGACCCAGTAATTCTACTCCTAGGAATTTGTCTGAAGAAAACAAAATCCCTGGTTTGAAAAGACATATGCACCCTTATGTTTATGGATGCACTATTTGCAATAGCCAAGATATGGAAGCAACCTAAGTGTCCATCAATAGATGAATGGATAAAAAAAATGTGGTACATATACATAATGGAATATTATTCAGCTTTAAAAAGAAAAGAAATCCTGCCCTTTGCAACAATATGGATCTATAGGATATTATGCTGAGTGAAATAAGCCAGATGGAGAAAGACAAACACCATACGATTTCATTTATTTGTGGAATATAAAAGCAAAGCAAAACAAAAGGACAAAAAACAGCACTAGACTCATAGACTCTGAAAAGGCAGTAGTGGTTATCAAGGGGGAGGAGTTGCGGTGGGTGGGGGGAAGGGTATAAAGGAGCACAATAATTTTCAATCACAACATAAATTGGTCATGGGGACAGTAATACAGCATGGAGAATACAGTTAATGGTTCTGTAACATCTTACTATATTGATAGATAGTGACCACACTAGAGGGGGTGAGAATTTAATAATATAGGTAACTGCTGAACCACTGTGTTGTATATTTGAAACCAACATAAGATTGTATATCAATGGTACTTTAATAAAAAAGAAGAAAGAAAATATATATCCACATAAAGACTTGCAAATCTTTGCAGTGGTATTATCTGTGTATTAGCCCAAAACTGAAAACAATGTCCATCAACTGCTACATGTACAAACAGAAATATGGCACTTCCACACAATGGACTATTACTCAGCAATAAAAGAGAACAAGCTACTGGCATGTTACGATGTCATGCCAGACATGAGAGACCCATACTGAATGATTCCATTTATAAGAAGTGTCCAGAAAAACCAAATGTATACAGACAAAACAGATTGGCAGTTTGCTGGGGGTGAGAACAAGGATTAACTGTAAATGTGAATGAGGGATTTTACTGTAGTAATGAAAATGTTCTAAACCTGATCTATGATGATGGTTGTACCATTCAGTAAAGTTACCAAAACTCATCGAATTGTACACTTAGATTGGGTGAACTTTATGATACGTAAAACATACTTACATAAAGCTCTTTTTAAAAATGCATATGCTTTAGTTTCTTATCCCTTGAAGAATTAATTAAAAGAGTAACTTGAGATTGTAGCAACCTGTATAATTTTTAATATAACAAATAATTGTACTAATTATAACCTTGAACGGGAAACCACAGTACAATTTGAGAAAGGCTGTAACACAGTGTTAGAACATTCCCCCAATTGCTTGCTCAATGTGTGTGTGTTGGTGGGGGTGGAGGGGGAGGAGGGTGTCCTCCAGGAAAAGGATTTCTCATAAATCAAAGTACCTTCTGTTGGTTTATATTTTAAGAAGACAGTGCCTGCAAGGAGCTCAAAAGTATATACAAAAGAGATTTAAGTGGTCTCTTGACAAGGAGCTGATTGATATGATGGGTGTTTTAGTCTACATTCAGATTACAGAAGAATTTTTTTAAAAAAGCAAAAAGCTTAACACAATTTGGAAAGGCATAAGGTAAGTTATAGAACTTTCAGAGTGTACATGTCCAGATGGCAAAGGCACTGTTTGCTTGAGTACTGTATAATGTCATAACACAACAGTCCTTAGTAATATTTAATACAAGTAACATTACAGACATTAATCAATCCCTGGATCTTCCTATAGTTCTTCTAAACATATGTCCCAACTATCCACTCTATGAATGAGGTGTTTCAAAAATAACCCAGGACTCAGCCCACACAGGACCTAAAAGAGTTTTTACAAAGTTTTTCGGTCTTTACACAAATGCCACGGTGTCTGTTAAGCCTTGCTCAACCACCTTATTGAAAATTGCTAACCTTGCAAAAACTCTCCATCCTCTCTTCCCTGATTCATTTTTCGCATTAAACATACTACAAATTTTACATACGTATGTTATTATTTGTCTTCCTCTACTAGATTATAAGAACCATAAATAGAGAGGTTTTCAATCTGTTTTTTTTCCTTGCTATCTCCCAACTGCCTAGAACAGTGCCCAGCACATTGTAGGTGCTCGGTACTTAAGAAGTGTTTTCTGAGAGAAAGGGTATGAGATACGTGTAAAAAGGAGCTGATCCTTGCTACTGGAATGAACTAGTTTCTTCTCCCTATAAAAATTTTACAAGGAAATAGAGGCCAGAGAATAGAATCTCCAGACTGCTTACTACAGATTAAAAAAAAAAAAAAAGCCAACTCTTTACTTCGAATTCTGGATTTGCAACAATCAAACGGAAAGTACTTTTAATAAGCTGCTCAAGTTCTGGAGCGAGGTCAAATTAATTAAATCCCACGTGACTCTTAATAGCAAAAAAAAAAAAAAAGGTAAGTTCAACACAACTAGAAAGACTTCTGTAGAAAAACTCAAAAGCAGCCTCTTTTTCTACGCCCAAAATAGGGTCCCATCACCAAGAAAACAGACCTCAGTAGAATAGCCTTAGCAGTTCTGAGCTTCTCAACCGCACTCCCTCGAAGATTCACGCTCAGGAACCTTTTTCTCCCTCCATTCCAGAACCTGTCCTAGAACCATTTTTACACAGCCAACCAGCCTTCAGACCCCGCAGTTCTAATTAACCCCAGACCCAACAATCCAGCTGCATACCAACGTTTCACATACTAAGAATAAAGACCCACCCATCTCGAGGCCCCAGGAACATCCCCTTAAACAGCCCCACCAACCAATCACGGAACACGAAAGAGTTAGGATGTCAGGGAGCTCCCAGCCTGGCCAGAATTGGAAGACATTTTACACTTCATCCTGGTTCTGCCAATTTCTGTGTGACCTTGCGCGCGTTTCCTAACCCTGTAAGGGTCCCGGTTTTCTCACCGTCAAGGTGAGGACAGCACCTGCACCAAGTTGCTACAAGGATTCTATGAGATCACACGTGAACCATCTAACAGGCATCTGGCATGAAAGGGAAACTCGGGAATCGTAACGTGTATTCCCCAGTCCTATCCACACAACCTCGGAGCTGGAAGGCACCTTATCAAGCAGCCGGTCCAATCAACCGGTTTTACACAAGAGGGCACCGAGGTCCGGGAAGGGAGAAGCGCCTTCTCCCGACCACCGCACAGGCGGCTGGGCGCTGGCCCTGGACCCCTGTCCCCGTCCCCGCCGGGCACCTCCCGCTTCCACCTGCCGCCAGGCCCGCGGCCCTGGGCTCGGGCGCTCCCGCGGCTCGGCCCGACCTCCCGCGACGCGAGCAGCCCTGCCCCGCAGGCTCGGTCGCGTACTCAACTCTTCACTTTGCCGAAGGTGCCGACGCCCAGCGTGTCCCCCAGCACGTAGTGCCCTATCTTCACCCGCCCGTCGTGCTTCTGTTTCTCAGCCATCTTCGGCGCGCGCAGCCTCGCCCGTTCCCCGCCGCCGCCGCCGCCGCGGGGCCTCAACGCGCCCGCAGCCGCCGCCTACCCACAGTGCAGCGGGCCCGCGGGGGGGCCGGGGCGGGGGCGCGGCCGGGGACGCGGGGGGCGCGGGCGCGGCGCCGGGGAGGGGCGGGCCAGGTGGGGCTCGCCGGCGGCGCGCGGGGCCGGCGCAGGGCGTGGGGGCGTCCGGGGCGCAGCCCTGGAGGGGGCGCGGGGGCAGGGCCCCGAGCGCGGTCCGGGCGGGCTGGCGGCGCACAGGTGTGCGAGCCGCGGCCTGCGGGAGGCCCGTCGAGAGGAAATCTCAGGGGGGTGAGAATGGGAGGGGGATGGAAAGAGGTGGGAGGTCAAATTTGAAGAGAACGGGCCTAGTGTGGGGAGACGCAAAGCTAAAATGTGGGGATAAGGGCAGCCGGGGATAGGAGGCCGTGGGGAAGGGCCTTGGTCGAAGGTCACTCTGAAGGCAGCCACAAGGAAGTTTGAAGAAAGTTTCTCAAGTTACGGACTGAGTATTTTTGATACAGGTCATGGCACATAGAGAACCCAATTCTGTGCTCTACGTCAATTGTCCTTTACATGTTTTGTAATTCTCAATTTTGTCCTAATGATAGACCCTCTCCTCCAGAGCTCTCCATTCTAATTGCACGAAAGTGCTCCAGATCCCCGTCACAGTATTTGCTTGGTTGTATTTTAGCACATGGTTATATACATATTTCTACACTACATATATAACTAGGGTAGAAGTAGTTTGTGATAAAGATGCAAAGCAAAGAGGGAAGTAAAGAAATGAAAAGGGAAACAATGTAGTGAACATAAAAAGTAAAATAAAATAACTAAGGGGCAGAATTTAAGAGGAGAGCACTATAAGAGCACAAATAAAAGAGATACAAATGGAGGTGGGGGGAATGGTAAGAGGAATCTAGAAGCACGGACACCCAGGTAGAATATTAAAGACTGACAGGCATTTGATAATGAAGTGATTAGCCCTTCCTTCCATATTGTCCTATTTGTCAGTGTTGCCTTTCAGTGCTTAAAACTATTTGCTGATTTGGAATAAATGTTTAATTGAACATTTTTAACATTGCACAATAGAGTTTCAAGGTCACATTCCTCAGTCTCTTATCATGCTGTTTACATGTAAAGAGAGAAATGTATTGATCAGAAAGAATAAGATATAACAAGTTTGTTTTCTGATAAATGATTAATATACAAATGGCAAGCATACATCCTTTCTTAGACAACAAGACAGTCTGATGAGAGATGATCACAGCTTATAAATTATGGATCTCACAGCTGTTGAACAGAGGCTATTTTTGTTCATTCTTGGGATCATCTTTCTTGCTAACAAGAAGTATCCTTTAAGAATCACTCTACCTAGCTGGCAGTTTGGAGAAAATAGCCAATTATTTTTGATGCTGGACCTTCATTTGGTTAAGGGTCACTCCTTCAGTATTTATCCAAGTGAGTAAGAAAACAAAATACCTATTCTACTTTTGAGATGTAAGATGTATGTCTTTCTCTTGATCTAACATCCAATTAAAAGATGTTGAAAAGTCTGCTAGATTGCTTTCTTGAAGCTACATAAAGTCAGACTCTAGAGATTTTTAAAGCATGTTGCAATGTGGTATTTGTTAATAATTACAACTTAATTACATGCTTCTTAACTATGAGCCTTACCTAGCAACTACAAACTACCTTGTAGCTTTATTACTATGCCAAACAAGTATATGATACTTTGTTGATTAAAAAGTTCATTCAAACACAATTATCTCACTTAATTATCATAAAAAAAACTTATCTCCATTTTACAGATGATAAAACTTAGTTTTCCTCTTTCTGAGTTGCTTAAAGCAAATCAACTATGTGGTCATCAGAACTCATATCCAGTTCTGATTTTTCCTTTTGTCTTTCTACTATACCACAGCTGCCTATAAGAAAAATAATATGTAGCGCTCTAACAGTGTTTAAAGCTTTCACAGTTATATTCCCATTCTCATATTTTTATTGTCTCTGGCAGGCCAACAATATACACTTTTTAAAAATGCCATTTGTTGAAAAATTGGGTCATTTTACCTGTTGAATTTCCTATACCCTGTTGGATTTACCTCAATAATTATTCTTGATCACAAGAAGTCATATGGTAGTGTGGACAAAGCATAGTATTTCAAAACAAAAATCCCAAGTTCATGTCCCAGCTTAGCCATGTAGCAGTGTGTCCTTAAATAGATCATTTCACATCTCATTAGCAGTGTTGAACTAGCTTATATTTAAAGTTCTACTTAGTTGTTAAGAAATTCAACCCCCAAATCCCTTTGAAAGTTTTAGAATGAAACTATCAAAGGAAAAAAGGAGATTACTATAAAGTACTGTAGGCTATAGTCAAGATAACTCAACAAACTTTATCTTGGTACACATTATTTTTCCTACACATATTTTACCTCTTGACATTTACTTTTACTAGTTTGTAAGATTGAAAAAGAACATTGCCTAGCCCAAACCCCTTCAAAAAGATAAGAAGATGCAATACATGTGACAATTCTTAAAACCTTTCAAGGAAATTTAATATATAACTTTGAGATATTATTTTTAGCAGGTACCCTGTAACAAATATTAAACTTAATGTAATCCATTTCTCTTTTTTAGCCAAGTACATTCCTAAATTACTTCAATATGAGTCAACATTGTAATTTTCAGTGTAGCTGAGAAAAAATAAAACATTTTGGATCTGATTTCCCCCATGAGCAGATGCATTAATTGGAATAACAAAGGTTGTTTGCTTTGCTGTATAAACATTATGGATCTGACAGCATTTTTAGAATCTTGCTTTCATGTGTGTGTTGACAGCTTGTCTAAAGGAAACTCAAACATGCTTTTAGATCTGTTAAATCAATTATTTCCACCCTGGCATGGATTCAGTGCCTGTCTATACTGAATACTTTTAAATTGGTAAGGTTTGAATAAGGAGATACCAATGTCACCTTGAATTGATTATCATCCTTGTTATGGCTGTGCTTTGCAATTAAAGTAACCCTTGACAAAACTATACAGTATATATGTTATTTGAAATCTTTTACAGTACTCTTTTCATGTCCTGAAATGGGTGTGAATGCTTTGACTTGTTGGCTCAATACTGTTAACATGAACTACAGAGCTTTGCCGTGATTAATTAGTGCAAACCAAAAATCAGCTAGGTTATTTCAAAATTTTCAAATGCTCTGAATATAAAATAATTCTCCCTCCAAGAATAAAGACCTTAAAAAAATAGCCAAAGAATTCAGTGTCTCTTTTTAATTAGAAATGTGGGCTTGTACTAGGTACCCTTTAAGGGCTCTTAACTCTGAGGTTCTGACTCTATGAAATTAAATGCGTTAATAAATTTTTTAAGTATTAATAAACTTTTCACCCTTGGTTTTTAAAATATTGAAATGGTTTAAAAGTGCTATAAAACTAACTCTACCAATGAAAATATTCCCAGATTCTTTGCTCCTGTCCTAAATTTATTCATTCATTGAACAAATAAGTGTTGAATGCCTACTGAGCATTAGGCACTATTCTAGGCACTGTGGATATAGAAATGAACAGGATAGACATGGTATTCTGTCTTGTTTATCACTCATAATGTTGCTATTTGCTAAAGAAAAAATTGTTATTACAATTTTAAAGACAGTAAGGCATATTTTATTCATGATTATTGCTATAGATATAGGGCCTACTGCAATGGGGCCTTGCACTAGGGGAGAGAGATTGGGCTCAATTTCAAATACAATAAAGTAAAGTGGGGATTTACAGCCAAGGAGCTAAGTGGGAGGGACCATTGGTGGAAAATTACTAAGAGGGTAGGATAATTCTTTGCTAAACTACCTAACAGGATCCTTGCTGAAGGTAGGCCTAAGTGATGGTAAGGATAAGGATTTTGTTGGCTATCGAGAATAATTATGCTGGCTACACTGACTTAGCAACACTCTTGCTGAAACTGGACTCTTGAAGACATGGCTAAGGATACAACCTAGTTGGGCTCAGAGGAGCCTGACAATAGTTAGGTCAAGGAGATAGTCTTTTTCACATTCTAAGGGAAGAGCCATATAATAAACAATCAAACAAACAAACAATGTAACATAATACTAGTGACAAGTACTATAAAGAAAAAAGGCAGAGTGAATAGATAGATAAAATGATGTGGGGGGTGTAGGTTGAATAGGCATTGTATATGGTTGTCAGAGAAAGTCTCTCTGGGAATGTAGCATTTCAGCAGAGGCTTGAGAATTATGTGAAACATTGAAATATATGGGATATTAGCATTCCAAACAGAAGGAAGAGCATATACAAAGGCCCTGAGACAGTACAAATAGCATATTGGAGGAACAGCAAGAGGGTCAATGTGTCCATAGTGATGCATATAATGATAATGGATAACATTAATACATAATGATATATATTATATTATAACATATATATAATGGATAACATTAATACATAATGATATATAATATATAATGATTAACATATAATGATAACAGATAATGGATAACAAAACTGATAATGGAGAGATTTGTAGTTAGACTGTCTGAACCACATTCTATTGGTTAGGTTATGTGAAAAACTGGGATTTTTTTAAAAAGTGTGATCACATTTTTGGAGGATTTTTGAACAGGAGAGTGATGTGATATGACTTATAAACTTAAAATATCTTTCTAGATGGCTGTGTGGAAAACAGTCTAGTGGGATGAGGGTAGAGACAAATAAACTAATTAAGAGGCCATTGCAGCAGACCCGATGAGTATTAATAGTAGCTTACATTAGGGTGGTAGCATGGAAGCTGGTGAGAAGCATTCAGATTTGGCATATGTTTTGATATTAGCACCAAGGATTTGCCAATGGTTGGATGAGACATGTGAGAAGAATCTCAAAAAAAGAATCAAAGACAGATATTTTGGGCTCATACAACTAGTGAACAGGCTGCCATAGACTGAAATGCAAAACACTTCATGAGAAATAAGTTG